AGCGGAGGGGGTTGTGCCGTGGCCGTATATAAATGCGCAGGCAGCTCCGGCACGACGGGATTCTCCCGCTGCTGCATCCCGATGTGCCGCCGCTTCCTGATGGGAGATACGCATGGGAAACTCGACCCCGGGGGAGGCTGCGTGGCAATATGCCTGAGGATCCCGGGGCTCGGGGAGGGACACGTTTGGGAGACTTGTGGAAGGGAGGGGACATGACATGGGAGATGCAGCACTAGCTGGGGAGCGACAGGTGTGGAAGGTTCATCTGCTCGGGTACACAGACGGGAATTCCTGCCGTGGGAGGTGCTTCGAGGGCAAAGGGTTACTCCGGGGTTGTCCGTGTCCACTGGAGGGATATGCATGGAGATCCCTTCCCTGGTGCAGAGGACATGCTTGTGTAGACGCCCCAGTTCTCCCCCAGGGGCATGCTGAGGAATTGGGACAGGGGAAGCATGGGGACCCCCACACACAGGCAGGGGGTGACTTGCCTTTGCCCAGAAATGTGCAGTGTGGGAGAGGACAGACAGTACTTAGAACTGGATTCAGAGCCTTTCAGGTGGGACGTACAGGGCTCTGACTGTGACAGAACCCATCATGGACCTGAGGGCTATGCCCATCCCAGTGGGCTCTCCACTTGTGCCACACATGAGTGTTGAGCACAGCACATGTGCCCTGGGGTCATACAACTCACCTGGCAGGGTTGCAGCAGGGATGCTGCCCATGTTCCTGCCTGACCAAGGCTTCCACCTTTAGCTTTCGCTTTTCACCTCTCCCTTTTGCTTGGTTTACCCCAGCTTTTGGCCCTCCTGAGATAGCTGAGATAGCAGCAACTTTATAAATCACTCACTTTGAAAAGTGAGTGCCTGAGTACTTTGCAGAGCTCCAGAGACACCCTGCAGTGCCACAGTCCACAGCTTGACCTGTGTTTTCTTTCGTTTCCAATCTCCTCTGTCAGGAAGCTGAGATCCCCAGGGAGAAAACAGCCAGCGAGAAGGAGGCAAAGGCAACCAGCAGCAAGTGGGGGCTGGATCATGAGCAGAAATGGCCCACAAGGAATGACAAGGTTAGTGCTGGCAGCCCGTGCACATTGCAGGGGGCTCAGCCTGTGGGGCAGTGGCAGGGGCTGTGTGCAGGCAGTGCCCAGGGACTTGTTTACTTGTTCCTAGCAGTGCAACCTGACTGGCTGGTGGAAGAATGAACTGGGGTCCAAGATGCACGTGACCAAAGTTGACAGTCAGGGCAGCTTCTCTGGAGAGTACTACACTGCTGTGTCAAGTGCCAAGAAACCCATTCAGCCATCCCCCCTTGTTGGCTCCCAGCACTTGGATAAGGATGGGCAGTGCACTTTCGGCTTTACGGTCAACTGGAAGAAATTTTCAGGTCTGTAGCTGCAGTGACAGCTGTTCCTGGATGAAGTAGTGGGATGGGAAGGGGAGCTCAGGCAGGACCCAGCACCCATCCCAATCCCTCTGTTCTCTCTCCTGTCCCCTGTCTGTCCTTCACTGATCTCTGCCCACTCTAGATGGTGTCTGCAGACAGCAGGACACCTCCCAAAGCACTATTTGGTCACTGAGAGTTGTTTTGGCAACATCTCTGCCACACAGCATTTCCCTGCAAACATCAGAACCTACTCAGGCTCCATGAGCATTAAACCCACTGGTGCTTGTGAAGCCCCAAAACCAGCTGGGGTCCTGTTGGGATGATAACAGCCACCATTGCTCCAGACTCCACAGCTGTCTTTGTGGGCCAGTGCTTTACTGGGGATGATGGGGATGAGGTCCTGAAGACCTCCTGGCTGCTGCGGGAGAAGGTCGACTCCCTGCCCAGCGACTGGAAAGCAACCAGGTGAGCCAAGTGACACCCAGCCTGTATGGGACCCCTACCCCTTTGTCTGGACACCAATGGGCTGTTACTTCCCCACAGGACTGGCAGCAACACCTTCATTCGCGTGGTCTGAAAGGAGGGAGAACTGCCTTGTTCCAGACAGATTTGGGAGACCAGGATTCTCCTTAGCAGGATCAGTGCATACCAGCATCCCCTGATATCATCAACTCTGGGGAAGGATGCCCCCTCAAAAAAAAAAAATTTAAAAAATGAAAAAGAAATAAAGTTTAAAAAAATTGAAAAGAAAAAGTTTAATAAAATTTTTTAAACCTTCTTCTTTAAGCCCAACCTTGTACAGTCTGTGGATGTGTCCTGGGAAAGCAGGGCTAAAATGCTGCAGTGGGTGTGGGATGAAGCTCTCACTCCTTTATTCTGTGAAGAGACTGGCCTGAAGAAAGCCCCATTTGCAGCTCAAGCGGGATGAAGCATCCCCAAAGTGACACCCTGACCAGCACTCGTTCTTCTTTGCTTGAAGTCTGAAGATGGGAGGGCAAGCCAAGACACCTTCTGCACCCCAAAAAGCTGGCTGGGAGACCCTCAGCTCTCTGATACAGCCCTCAGGCAGACATGGGAGAGGTTTGGCTGTGTCCATACTCCTGGGTAGTGGCAAGGGATGCTCTGTACCAGCAGGACAGTGCCAGTAGCTGCAGTACTAAAATTCTTAGTAGGGAAACAAGTGTGATTTACTGGAAAGCAGATGACCAGCAAATCAAGTCCCAAATCTCTGCCTGACAGAGTATGTGATTTACTGTAATGGGCAGGGCTAGTGCTGCCTTAGACACACCTCTCAGCCAAAACAAATTATTTCCAGGAAATATAGCTCTGAATCTGAAACTTAGTCCCTAGGCTGTTGATTCTCAAAATAGCCCTGGACAGTGCTGCATGTCCTGAACTGGCACACTGCCTGGGATTTGAGGAGTCCAAAAGAAAGACTGAGCTGCTGAGTCTCCCACCTTTCTCTGCTTCCCTGGCTTTCCTGCCATGAATGCTGTGGGAGAGCTTTGCTAACAGCATTTGTGGCTTTAGCAAGTTTGTCACTTGCTTTGTGTTTTAGCCTGCTTCATTGCAGCCTCACATGTTGTTTGCTTCTCATGTCTTTCTCCTTGGGGTTCATCTTCTGGTTCTAAAGCAATGCTGCTGTTCCCTTCTCAGTGTCTTGCTGGCATTTCTCCAACTTTTTCAGTTTCCTTACAGGTTCTCTGACCAGAATGTCTTTATGCCAGCCCTCTGCTATGGTATCTGTACATACTTTTACCTTCTTTAGAGGAACCTGAGAACTAGGAAAATGGGAGGCAGAGGGACCACAGGGCTCTGCTCTCACCCCAAAGTGTGGCCAGCTCAGCAGTGGGGTGTGCCATTGAGTCTGCAGCCTCATAGCATGCATCCTCCTGAATTTGTTATTGCCTTCATGCCAACATTTCCCCAGGGCAGGTCTACCCACAGCAGGGCTCCTCTCAGGACAGTCCTCAGATGCTACGCAGAATTCCTGGGTCACTCCAGAAAGGCAGGAGTGCTGGCCACAATTTGAGCATCCTGCAAACCCCTGCCGGCAGCCACAGTGATGACGAGGAATGCAGTGGGCATGGGCTGGTAGAGTTGTTTTCAACGACAGTCCCTATATGAGGGCACCCAGCAAGGTTATGACACATCCAGCATCTCAGGTTTGGGGTGGGACCTGCTGTAACAGGGGTGCCCACAGGCATCTGAGGTGGGCTGTGGATGAGGATGCTTCCCCATGATCATTAGGCATACATCAGCACTGGGTTTTACTCAGCTGCAAGATGTGCCCACAGTGCTCTGCATTCTGCTCTGGTCTGCAACCCCATGACTATTGTCTCCTTCCAGTGCAGCCTCATCAGCCACACAAAGGTGAGCAATAGGATCCCTTTCAGCCTCACTGCAGACCTCTCTCTGGGAGGAAATCCTGCTGTTTCTGCTGGATGGCAAGCCTTGGTCAAGGTCATTCATGCCATCAGGGGCAGAGGGAGGTGATTGAGGCAGAAGGCACCTGAAATCACATGCAGCATACAGCTGCTGACACATCTGTATGTCTATGAGCACAGGTACTCACACATAGAGTATTGGTTAAACAAAAAACCAAAAACCCAAACCAATTCACTGGGATCTTGGCATGGGGCAATGCTCACATAGGAGCTCAAATCCCTCAAATAGTCACTGTCAGAGTGGAGAAGGAGTCTCTCTTACAGGGATCCTCCATCACTTACATGTCTTAACCACATGCGGAGAACTGTCCTACGCAACTATTTCTGTGTGGACTGTTCCTGTCGACTGTTTATGAATGTCTCAACACTGAACATCTTGGTGTCCAACATCTGACTCAGTGCAGCTGTTGTCCCAGCTAAGGAGAAGAAGCTGGCAAGTTTCCAGGTCACTCAGGGACTCCATGGCTGGTGTGGTTTTGCATAGGCAAAACCTTGTACCCAGCCACCCTGTAGTGATGACAAGAGTAAATTTGGCTTTCAAGTCTGTAACTTCATTTATAAGTGAGCAACATAGCTCCCATCTCCTCCACCATTCTGTGTGTCCCTGTGGTCAAGACTGCACACTGTGGTCTGCTCCTTTTCCTCTCTCCTTGGCCCAGTTCCAGCTGCGGTCTTGCTAAGCACAAACTGTTATTCTGGGAGGATGGAGGAGCTCCTTGGCTGTGTTCTCAGTCCTTCATGGGGCTGGTTTGGACACAGGGCAGCCTACCAGATGTGCTCTGCCTCCCCAGCCTATGGGTATGCTCATCACACTTGGTAATATATCCCCTTGAGTGGATGGGGGACCTGCAGCTTGTCCAGATCCCCTCCATGACTCAGAGCGTTGCTCACTCCTGCCACCCTGCCTACACCCAGGCTGTGCTGCAGCACCAGTGCTGAGTCCCCTTCACTCCAGCACACACTGACCAGATGCTGTGTCAATGACCTGGGCTCTAACATGACCATCTCAGCCATGAACAGGAAAGGCAACTTCACTGTCTTCTCCCACACAGCTGTGAGTCACCATGAAGAAGATCTGGGTGTCACCACTGCATGATGAACCAGAAGAGCCAGCCCAAGTTTGGCTTCATTGTCAGCTGGAGCTTTT